GAATTTGGAATTAAAAGAGTCTGTACTATCGACCTTGATTGAGTTGGGTAATCGGTTTAGCATCCACTTAATAGTACATAAAATTACAGAACATTTCACTTTTCGAATTTCTTCGTGAGAATTATAAATTTAAAAAATCTATAATGCACTTATACATTTCTCTTTATATAATAGATAGAGGAAAGGCCCCTATTATAAGATACCGAGTTCATTTTGGGTAAATGTTAGAAGTCTATGGACAGAATTAAAAAAAATACTTATTAAAATTAGCGTCAAAAGACGTAAAACACGAAAAAAATCTAAATTTTATTTATAATATCTTACGCAGTCTATGATATAATTTATTGTATTAACACAGGCACACATGATTTCTGTTGGTCCATGTAATGAAACAAATAACTGGATACTTGGTATACACATATTCTCAAAATTATTACTATTTTTTAAGAGGCTACCAAATTCGATTATCTATTCATTTTTTTTAGTTCAAAGTATCTTAAGATTGTACCTTAAAAATTCTATATTGTTATTAGACCGTTAATCACAATTTTATTTCTTTTTAAAGAATTTAAACAATAATTTAATTGTTTGAAGTAAATTAGAATATATTTATTCAATATTTTTTTGTCTATTTTTTATTTAATGTATAATATATGTATTACGTCTTACCACGTTTGACATGCTAACTGCCTTTGGTTGCGGACCTGGGTTTCCTCTCTTTTCTGCACCCGATGCAACTTTCTGTCTCAGTTCATTGTGTTTATCTACTATTTCCTTCTTCTCTTTATCAGTAAGGCCAGTACGACTTGTTTGTCCGCATTCTTTTGCTGGTTTTGACGACTACGACATCGTGATTTTGTAAAATTAGCTAACAAATATAGGGTAATGCTGGTATTTACGCCGCGGAAGTCAGAAAAAATAGAAGGAGTAGGGGTAATTTTCTCGCAACTACTCTGTTACATGCCTTTATGTTATATTAGTATTGAGTTATAATTTCAGCTTTTTACTGTTAATATTAATGAAATTATTGTGAGTTGAATCGATTTGTCACTGTGTGTGTAACAAATAGCATCATCATAAATCAGAGCTGGGATTTAGTTGAACATTTAGGCTCGATTTCGTTGGCGACGCCCACTGTTCCCCTCTTGCCGCGCATTGCCTAACAACGAATCGTCGGATGCTTGTAAACAACGCATGTTACCGCTTAATCTCTCAGCAGCGTTCCTACTATTAACTATACTATACGAATGGAACTGATGAATCTCCCTCAACTTAAATAATGAATTAAAACTTTTTTTAGAATAATTTTAAATTAATAATTGAAAATATATTTATTATTAATATTAATAGTAATAATAATATAGTATTATTATTATTAATATATGTGTATA